AGGGTTTCGTGCGGCCTATTAACTTCACGGTGTTACGCGATAGCCTCAACGATACTTGTCTCACTCCCGGCGTTATCATCTGGCACATCGGGGCCTCGTCCTGCGCACGTGTGTAAGCAGGAAGAGAGGGAGAAGTGGCGAACAGCCGTTCGCCAGAACGCGCCGCGGGATTAACTGATCAATTTGTTCTTTTTCCCTCCTTTTTTCTCGCCAGGATTGCTAGTTTTCAAGGTTTGTGTAATATTTTTTTCGCCACTGTCATCTCCTTTCCAACGCGACAAAAAAAAGTAACGTTACCGACAAATTAATATTTATCACAAGGATCCCTCATTCTCGACTTGCGTCATGTGCGCAAAATATATTAGACATTGTACATTTCTTCCGAATTGCAACTAAAAATTTGAAAGAAATTTAAAAATAATAATGATTCCATTAAAAAATGACGCGATGTGTTATTTGCTCGCGAAAACAATTATCTTCTAATGGAACGGTAACTTTCACGGCCACTCGCGTTAACAGTTCGCGGCATGCAAAATAAGTGCAATTATCGTTGTTATTTGTATCGCAGGACTGCATGTGAGCGCATGACAAAGGTTGCTTGCGCGATTATTAACATGATAATTATTTTGGATTACTTGCAAGACGCGATACTCGACGCGTCGGACGTGCGCGATCGGACGTACAATATTTCTCTCGAAAGACTTTCCGAAGAAAATTACACACGCCGCCATTCACAATAATTAACGTAATGCTATATTTCATCCTTTACGATATAATTATCGTCGCGCTATGAAATGATATCTTGTTAACAGTTACGCGTATTTACTTCACGCGAGAGAAATCGCAAGAGGAAGATGCGGGAAAAACGTTCGAGAATGGCCGAAACGTTGCAGTCGAAGAGATGCTGCGCCGCGAGCGACAAACGGGCAAATATTAATTATCGTAAACCGCACCGGTTCAGAGATTAATGTCAAATTAAGAACGAGGTCAATCAGCAGCGGCGATGTGCCGGGATTAAAATCGCGATAAAGCATTACGCTTCACCTGTCGGAGAAAGAAATTCTGCTTATAATCCAAAAATTAATTACATCTGTGTATAGGATGCATCGTTTCTCAATCATCTTTTGCGAGAGTATACGCGCGCGTAATGTGATACTGCACGCATGATATATTGTTCACGTACACAAATGCGGAAGCTATTAAATTCTGTAGAACAAATAATGGATTAACCAAGAATGTCATTAAAAAAAATGATCTGCTAACGTTATTTCAATCTTTCATTTTTATATAATAGAAAAAAAAAGAAAATTATACTTTTTGAAATTGCAAAAAAATTGTTCGAAACCAATATCGAAGAGGAGCAATTAATAAATCATATATTTTTGAAAAGGTATTAATTGGTTGATATAAAATGACGATTCGCTTGTGTTATGACTAATAAAGCGAATGTACGTTCGGATTTCATTTCACGTGAGAGAAAAATCGGCACGCTTGATTTTATGATGCGTTTCATATCGAGGCTACACGGAACGGTAATAATCGTATAAAATGGAAGAATATATCGTGCTGGTGGTATCCGTGTCAGAGTATTATTGAAGGTAATCCCGATAAGATTGAGCGATTTACAATCGCTGATACATGAATGAATGAGGAACATAAAGTTAAAGTAAAATTCGTTTATTATTCGCTAACGATGTTTATTAAACGTATTAATCATGATTATTTCGATTGATATTAAGACAGATTTTGTCTATTGTACTTTTTGTATGTATCGACCAAGTTTTGAAAAAACGGCCAAATAAATATAAAAGTATTGACATAAAATATAAAATTATATATATAGTCAAAGAGATAACATAATCAAATTTATTAACTTTTCTAGCCTAAAAAAAAATAATAAAATTACTTGAAAGTGGTTTCTATTTTAATATCGCGTAAATAATTTTAATTTTTTTATATATCACTATCATATGTATGTTTTAATCATTTTGTAACCAAACTTTAGTCCTCTCTTAAAAAAGAAAGATCGATACTCAAATGAATCGAAAGTCTTGAAGTGTATTGTTGACACTTTCCCGCGACGCTGATTGGTTATCTCGATTATTCTAATTATTATAATAAATACGCGCGCGTAGCGCGAATCTATATTGTTCTAGTATTGTTAAAAATTGTCGAAATTATTTTTATACGCAGACAAATAACTGTTAAAGTGTGCTTTTTGGCAAAAATATTATAAAATATTAAAATATTCTCTATTTTACGAATCTGTAAGATTAAATTCAAAACATTAAAAACTGTTGTTATTAAGCAATTAAAAATAGAGTGATAAATACAAAATGCAAACCAAAAATCCGAGGCATCATGCACAAAAAAATTGAAATTAATAATGCCAAATTTGAAAATAAATCAGATCGATAAATGCATTATAATAATAATAATTTTTTAATACAATCAGTCAATCATATCTATTTATTACTGCAATCGGTATATCAACTGCATTTAGAACAATATAAATAAATGTAAAAAATACATAGATTTTTTTTAATATAGCTCTCCTAATTTGAGAAGTTTTATTTGATGCATATTAAAAATACATACACATATAATATATTATTTGTGCATTATTTCTCACAAAATATATTCGTGTAAAGAATACATTGTAACGTCTCTTTTACTGACAATAATACTTGGCATGAGATATTACCGCGTGTTTTGATAATTGTAAGCTATGTTTGACCGAAACGCTCTGCACATCACATGTAAACGGTTCTCTCTGTTGGTGTGTAGAAACCGCAGTGTATACTTCTGCCATCACTATGTATTGTATTTAGTTACACTCGTCCAGTCGCTTCAAACAAACACAATGTCTCTAAGAATTATAACTAACAAGAATGTGTGGGAATATTATACAAAAGTGTCGGATTTCAAAGCGAAATGCAAGTCTTGCGAAATAACATATCTTTATAAAGACTCGTCAAGCTTCAAAAGACATATAAAAATACATAAAGAAATTTCGGAAAACGAAGAAAAGAAGAAACTAATACGATGGAAGTATTTCAAATATTTAAACCACTACTCTTCACAATGTGTTATCTGTAATACAGATGTTCCGTCTACAACTGAATCTGTAGAACATCATTTAAGTTTGCATTCTGAAGAACAACAAAAGAATTATTATGTATATGGAACAAATTGGACATTGAGATTTCGGACAGAAATAAATGATAATATAGTGGAATTTAATATTTGTCATAAAAATATATTTCTTTCTATTTCAAAAAGTTTAGATTATCATACAA